GGTTGCAGTGAGCTGAAATTGCACCACTGCACACCAGTTTGGGTGACAGAATGAGACTCCATAACAACAACAGCAACAAAAATAGCCAAGTGTGTTGGCAAGTGCCTGTAATCCTAGCTATTCAGGAAGCTCAGGTGGGGGGATCACCTGAGCCCAGGGGTGGAGACTGCAGTGAGCCAAGATCACACTCGTATGCTGCAGCCTTGGCAGCAGAGTGAAACCCTGTGTAAAATAAATAAATAAATAAATTACCTTATGGAATCATAAAATTCAAAAATATGTGAGTAAAATCGCATGTAAGTATGTGAATAAAGTTATCCCAACTTTTTAAGATCCAGCTAATTTTTTTCTGGAGTGATGAACACAATATGATGTATATGTAATATCTCAAAAATGCACATTCATGTGTATCCCCAAGAAAAAGCATCATTTGAATAGACAATAAATAAATTTGCAAATCAATGAAATATTTTAACTTGATAGAAGAATTTAAATAATATGTATATTTTAAACTTGTTTATTCTTTTGAGAAATAAGTCTAAGGAAAATTTCCAAGCTCTATCTTCTGCTTAGGTTTCATTGAGCTTCCTAGATCTGTGGATTTATAGTTTACTTCACATTGGAAGATTTAAAAAAAATTTTTTTAACTGTTTTCTCTGAGTCCTTTTGATTGAGGACGCCAATTTTATGTATATAAAACTGTTTCAAATGGTTCTATGACTCACTGATGCTCTGTTTACGTTTATGTTTTAGTTCCTCGTTTTGGATTTTTTATTTTTGGTTCTGGATTTTATTCTAGATAATTTCTAGGGCCATGACATCAAGTTCACTAATATTTTCTTTAACAGCAGTTTATTTGTTCTTTATCTCCTCATTTGTATTTGTTATTTGAATGTCTATTTTTTCATCCTTATAAATTTGATTTAGATTATTTTTTGCATTTTCTATATTCTCTACTCAACATTTTCAATGGCTCCTCTACCACCTTGAACTATACATATATGCAGTTTAGCAGCACTTTTCCTGTTCTCTTTAATTACATTTATTATTTGTATCATTTGTGAATCTGCTTTCACTAACTAAATTTTCAACTCCTTATGGATGGCCTGCTTCTTGGCATACAGTTCATTTTTATTTATTGGACATTAGCGTCTGTGAATTTTACTTTCTTGAGTGATAGATCCTTTTTATTAATTCCCTATAAACTTTCTTGAAATTCTTCTGAGGTATAGTTACATTTCTTTAAAAGGGTTGATATTTTGGATAATTGTTTTTAAAATCTGTTTGATGATACCAGAGCAATTATTAGTTTAAGACTAATTCTGTCACATTACTGATTCAGTACTCTTCTGATTACTTTGTGCCTTGTGAATCACAAGTCTTTTTCCTCTTGGTTAGTGGCAACAAGAATTATTCCTGGCCTTGGTTATGTTTAAAGTGATAAAATAATCTTTCCAGGAGGTTCTTTCACTGGCCTTGAATCATTTCCTCAACCTTATATGCTGATCATTTCCTTAAGAGCTTCTAGGGTGAACTTCTACAGATTTCTGGAGGTTTCCTTTTGTGCAGCTCTCTTTTCCATGGTATTTTCTACAACAAATTCTAGATACCTTTATGTCCATAGACATTCACTTCTCTTTCCTCAACTCTGCAAGACCACTAGGATCTATCTGGGTTTCCTCTACCTGTGCTGCATCTTGAAAATTTCTCTAGGTGGTAAACCAGAACAATTGTGGGTCTTCCCTTACTTTTTCCTGCTCTCTCAGAATTAACTTTCTGTATTCCATGATATTCAATATTTTAAAATTATTTCCAGCTATGTGTCCCCAACCAAATTTCATCTTGAATTGTGATCTGAATTACAATTCCCATGTGTTGAGGAAGTTCTCATGATAGTGAGTTCTCATGAGATCTGATGGTTTCATAAGGAACTTTCCACCACTTCACTTGTAACTTCTCTTCTGCTGTGATATGAATAAGGACATGTTTGCTTCTCCTTCTGCCATAATTGTAAGTTTTATGAGGCTTCCCCAGCCATGCTGAACAGTGAGTCAATTAAAACTTTCTCTTTATAAATTACCCAATCTCAGGTATTCATCCAGGCAGCATAAAAATGAACTAATATAGAAAATTGGTACCACAGACAGTGGGAAGGCAAATTTAAAGATACTGAAAATTGTGAAAGCAATTTCGATATTAGGTAATAGGAAGAGGTTGGAACAGTTTAGAGGGCTCCGAAGAAGGCAGGACAATGTGGGAATGTTTAGAACTTCCTAGAGATTTGGAGGACTCAGAAGACAGGAAGATGTGGGAAAGTTTGGAACTTCCTAAAGACTTATTGAATAGCTTTAACCAAAATACTGATAGTGATATGGAAAACAAAATCCAGACTCTGGTGGTCTCAGGTGAAAATGAGGAACTTGTGTGGAAGTGGAGTAGAGGTCACTCATGCTATGCAAAGAGACTGGTGGCATTTTATCCCTGCCCCAGAGATCTGTGGAACTTTGTACTTGAGAGAGATGATTTAGGGTATCTAGTGGAAGAAATATCTAAGCAGCAAAATACTCAAGAAGAAGCAGAGCATAAAACTTTATTCTACCTGATTATGTGATAGAAAAGAAAACCTCATTTTCTGGGGAGAAATTCAAGCTGGCTGCATAAATGTGCATAAGTAATGAGAATCCAAATGTTAATCACTAAGAAAATGGGGAAAATGTCTGCAGGGCATATCAGAGACCTTCACAGCAGTTCCTCCCTTCACAGGCCTAGAGGCCTAGAAGGGAAATGTGGTTTCCTGGGCTAGGTCCAGGGCGTCCCTACTGTGTGTAGCCTTGGGACTTGGTGTCCTGCATTCCAGCTGCTCCAACCATGACTAAAAGGGGCTAATATACAGTGCAGGGTATTGCTTCAGAGGGTGCAAAGCTGCAAGCCTTGAGCTTCCACATGGTATTGGGCCTGCAGGTGCACAGAAGGTAAGAATTAAGTTTTGGGAAACTCCCCCTAGATTTCAAAGAATGTATGGAAACATCTGGATGTCCACGGAGAAATTTGTTGCAGGAGGAGGTTTCATGGAGAACCTCTTCTGGGGCTGTGCAGTAGGGAAATGTGGGGTCAGAGCTCCCACACAGAGTTCCCACTGGGGCTCTGCCTAGTGGAGCTATGAGAAAAGGGCCACCATCCTTCAGATCCTAGAATGGTAGATCTACCACAGCTTGCACTGTGTTCCTGGAAAAGCTGCAGACACTCAATGCCAGCTGGTGAAAACAGCCACCGAGGGAGGGGTGCCTGCAAAGGCACAGGAGCAGGGCTGCTCAAGCCATGGGAGCCCTCATCTTACATTACATTGACCTGAATGTGAGACATGGAGTCAAAGGAGATTATTTTGGAGCTTTAATGTTTAATGACTGCCCTATTGGATTTTGGACTTGCATGGGGCCTATAGCCCCTTCATTTTGGTCAATTTATCACTTTTGGAATGGCTCTTATTTACCCAATGCCTGTACCCCCACTATATCTAGCAAGTAATTAACTTGCGTTTGATTTTACAGGCTCATAGGAGTCGTAAATGACTTGTGTTTCCTCAGATGAGACTTGGACTTTTGGGTTAATGCTGTAATTAGTTAAGGCTTTCGAGAACTGTTGGAAAAGCACAATTGTGTTTTTAATTGTGAGGACATGAAATTTAGGAGGGGCCAGTGCAGAATAATACATTTTGACTGTGTCTCTACCTGAATCTTATCTTGAATTGTAATCCGAGTTGTAATCCTGTGTGTTGGGGTAGGGACCTCTTGGAAGGTGATTAGATCATAGAGGCTGTTCTCCCATGCTGTTCTCATGATAATGAGTAAGTTCTCATGAGACTTGATGGTTTTATAGGGAGCTTCCCCCTTTCACTTGGCACTTCTTTCTCTTGTCACCATGTGAAGAAGGATGTGCTTGATGTCCCTTCCACCATGATTATGTTTCCTGAGACATTCCCAGCCATGGGGTACTGTGAGTCAATTAAGCTTCCTTCCTTTATAAATTACCCAGTCTCTGATATTTCTTCAGAGCAGCAGGAAAATAAACTAATACAGATTTCTTCTGATGGCAGTATAAATTCAATCATGTCTGCTTCATGTTAGCTGGGAGAGAAGACATATTAATGACTGAAATAGCAGTTTCTCCTATAATCCCACCATAGAATGAAACAATTATTTTTTTTAAATGTATTGGTTCTTTTGACTCTAGATAATTGCATTTTACCACAAAAGTTTTTAAGATTTTCTTTCTGTATATTGGTCACATGTTCCCGACCTCTTTAAAAAAAAAAACATTATTATGTACATGGTATGTGTTGGTTTCTGCTATTCAGTAATTCAGTTTCCAACAGCCCCTTTCTTGAAAACTACATAATCGATAGGCATAATACTAGGAAGTGTTTAGATAGTTGGGTGCTCCATTCCTCTCAACTTATTGTTTTATGTCTTGCTTTTTAACTCAGAATGTCTATCATAGAATTGTTCCTTGTTATGATAATATTTTTGAATATTTTTATGTAATTATGGCAGAAAGTATAAACTTACAGAATTTGCATTATTTCAAGCCAAGATAGGCAAACCACCACTCAGAGGCAAAATCTGAATGCAACCTGTTTTTATTAATAAAATTTTATTTTATTTGCTTACATGTTGTTCATGGTTGCTTTTTAAGGACAGTGGCAACATTGGCTAATTGGGACACAACCCATACATCCTGCAAAGCCTGAAATATTTTCTTTCTGAACCTTTACTGAAAGTTTGTGCACAGTTCACAAGCCTGTTTCAGTCTTTAAGTATAGTATGTTTGTGTTTGTGTCTGTGTGTGTGTGTGTGTGTGTTTAAGTTTAAGTGTCCAAGCATGTATGTGTATTTGGATTTTATAAAGCAAAACCAGAATTGTTTTAAGAATCAGTATCGCTTTTTCGCAACAGGTTTGCCACCAGAACACACTTGTCATGAAAACTACCCCTAAAAACCAAAATGGAAAAGGAAAAGACTCATATCAACATTGTTGTCATTGGACACATGTTGTGCATTTTAGATGCACATTTTAGATAGATTTGGGCAAGTCTACCACCACTGGCCATCTAATCTACAAATGCAGTGGCATTGACAAAAGAACCATTGAAAAATTTGAGAAGGAGACTGCTTAGATGGGAAAGGGCTCCTTCAAGTATGCCTGGGTCTTGGATAAACTGAAAGCCAAGCATGAACATGTTATCAACATTGATATCTCCTTGTGGAAATTCGAGACCAGCAAGTACTACATGACTATCACTGATGCCTCAGGACACAGAGACTTCATCAAAAACATGTTTACAAGGACATCTCAGGCTGACTGTGCTGTCCTGATTGTTGCTGCTGGTGTTGGTGAATTTGAAGCTAGTATCTCCAAGAATGGGCAGACCCGAGAGCATGCCCTTCTGGCTTAGAGACTGGGTATGAAACAGCTAATTGTTGGTGTTAACAAAATGGATTCCACTGAGCTACCCTACAGCCGGAAGAGATATGAGGAAATCATTAAGGAAGTCAGGACTTACGTTAAGAAAATTGGCTACAACCCTCCCAGAGTAGCATTTGTGTGAATTTCTGGTTGGAATAGTGACAACATGCCAGAGCCAAGTGCTAACATGCCTTGGTTCAAGGGTTGGAAAGTCACCCGTAAGGATAGCAATGCTAGTGGAACTACTCTGCTTGAGGCTCTGGATTTCAACCTACCACCAACTTGTCCAACTGACAAGCCCTTGTGCCTGCCTCTCCAGGATGTCTATAAAATTGGTGGTATTGGTACTGTTCCTGGTGGCCAAGCAAATACTGGTGTTCTCAAACCTGGTATGGTGGTTACCTTTGCTCCAGTCAATGTTACAACTGAAGTGAAATCTGTTTAAATGCACCATGAAGCTTTGAATGAAGCTCTTCCTGGGGACAATGTGGGCTTCAATATCAAGAATGTGTCTGTCAAGGATGTTCGCCATGGCAACGTTGCTGGTAACAGCAAGAACAACCTGCCAATAGAAGCAGCTGGCTTCATTGTTTAGGTGATTATCTGAACCATCCAGGCCAAATCAGTGCTGGCTATGCCACTGTACTGGATTGCCACACGGCTCACATTGCATACAAGTTTGTTGAGCTGAAGGAAAAGACTGATTGCTGTTCTGGTAAAAAGCTGGAAGATGGTCAAACTTCTTGAAGTCTGGTGATGCTGCCATCATTGATATGGTTCCTGGCAAGCCCATGTGTGTTGAGAGCTTCTCAGACTATCCAGCTCTGGGTCACTTTGCCATTCGTGATATGAGAGAGACAGTTGCAGTGGGTGTCATTAAAGCAGTGGACAAGAAGGCTGCTGGAGCTGGCAAGGACACCAAGTCTGCCCAGAAAGCTCAGAAGGCTAAATGAATATTATCCCTAATACCTGCCACCTCAGTCTTAATCAGTGGTAGAAGAACAGTCTCAGAACTGTTTGTTTCAATTGGCCATTTAAGTTTAGTAATAAAAGACTGGTTAATGATAACAATGCATTGTAAAACCTTCAGAAGGAAAGGAGGATGTTTTGTGGACCACTTTGGTTTTCTTCTTTGCGTGTGACAGTTTTAAGTTACTAGTTTTTAAAATCAGTACTTTTTAATTGCAGCAACTTGATAAAAGATTTGTCACAGAATTTTGAGACCAATTTAAAAAGTTTAATGAGGAAAAAAAAGAATTAGTATCTATGTAACTGAATTAGAATTTCAACTGCAAAGCTTATCAATTATTTTATTTTGGTCAAGTTAACTAACCTGTTTCAAATAGCCTGTATTCAAAATGGGAATATTTATATCTTTAATACCTTTAATTAGGAATCAGTGATAAAATACACAGAAAGCGCTTCATGCATAGTATATATTGAGTATCATCCTTATTACCTCCATTCCTGGAATGAAATTGTAAAGTATAAAATACCCTGTAGGAAATATATATGTTACTTTGATAATTGGAAATTTATTTTTTCATTTTTGTCTAAGTGCCTGAGGTTAACCTCTAAATATTAAATTCTTATAAAAAGCAAGTCACTTATACAAAAACCTTCAATCAGTGCCTTATTTATAGGCTGAGGTTTTTGGCAAATTAATTCACTTACAACTATGTGATATTATAAGGAAGGTTATTCTTTACAGTGTACAGATGTGTTTTATAGCGGTAATCATTCTTCAAAATCTTCCTGTTGAAAAGCAGTCTTCTCTCTGTGTTTTCTTTCCTCCTTTGGGAGTTTATTTACTATTCAGTGTATAATGTTTTAGAGACCCAGAATCACAACAAGAAAAAGATCTCTTCTAAGCTGAGTTAAAGTATATTATGCCTATACCATTTCTGTTCACTCCTATCTTCACCTTTTTAAGTGTTAAAAATCCATTTTCACATTTGAGTTATTTAATCAGTTCATTTCCCTTAGTGGCAACTTCTTCCTGTATTAAACAAAATGAGGAAAGTTTTTATAGTTGTGAATATCCTCTAGCTCTTTTGAGACTGAAAAGACCTTGAAAGTGTTTCTCTCTATAGGACTGAGGAAGAAAGTCTTTGTGCAGGCTACACGAGGGAACTGTTTTTTCTCTTGGCACATTTACTGTGTAGTGCACAGAAGTTTGATGTTTGCTTTTCTCTGTAAATCTGACGCTGAAGTACTGATGGCTAGGCTTTAGCTTCTGTATCCAGTCTAAAGTGCCCATAGGGAGAACATAAAGAACTAAATTAAAAATTGCAACTGCAGAGAACTGAAATCATTTGGCTAGGCAAAGCTTTGATTTCTGCTAGTCTTCTTCACATCCTCAATGTTATAAGGATATATAATTTCCTGTGGTACATAATTCTAGAATTAGAGAAAAATATTTAAAAATGCACTTATATTATTCATGTATAGGGATTAAAACCAAGAGAAAACTGGAAAATGAGTATAGTCTGATTGGTTTGGTCATGGGTTTGGAACACATTATTTATTTTTAAAGTTTTGAAATGTTTTATGAGAAAATAACATTTTATAACATTGACAATTGAGTAAATGATAAAATGTGAAATTATTTTTTTGAAAAAAACTATGCTTTGCATATAACTTTAAAACACAAATTCAATTTTTATTTAGTATGTATTAAGAAAATACTTTTCGTGCTCGCTTCGGCAGCACATATACTAAAATTGGAACGATACAGAGAAGATTAGCATGGCCCCGTGCGAGGATGGCACACAAATTCGTGAGGCGTTCCATATTTAAAAAAAAAAAAAGAAAATACTTTTCATTTAAGTGTTTCTCCTGTTTCAATTTAGCCATGTTGAAAATCAAATTTTGTCCCAAACTTTTTTCTTAAAAATTATTCACTAATTAATTGACCACTTAATGTTGATGTTATTAATGCTGAGATAGATATCTGAAGTTATATACCAAAATGGGTAAGTCTCAGCCTTAGCTATTCAGTGCTTTAAATAAAGGATAATTAGAATCAGAATTTAAAATGATATCAGTAGACTAGTATTTACCTTGTGGACATCTTGCATCTGGTCAAACAGCCATAGTAGCCAAGATAGAAGATATGGCTGTGTGTATAACACACATTGAAAACATATTGGGCATCTTAGTTAACACATTGATTAAAATATTTAGTTACAGGTAAGTGTAATTTAGCTGCACAGAAAAGTAATATAACTCAATGGAAAATTTCCCAGAAAAAGAATTTCCCAGAAAAGATATTGAGAGTCCCATTCATCTGGCTAAATGGTATCTTTAACATCTTATTCATTTCTGGCTACTGGATTTTAGGAGAAATAAATTCACAACTGAACCCATTAAGGACAGTGAACACATTCTGAAAACATCATTTAGCAAAATAGTTGAAGGAATTAGGCAGGTCTACCCTGGAAAATGAAACAAGCCAGGAGGAACATGTTTGTTATGTTACTCCCAAATATTTAAAGAATGACACATAGTAAAGAGATAGAAATGTTTTGCTCTGGCTGTAGGATAACATAATTAAGATCAACTGACAGTTTAGGGAGATGTGTGTGTGCTCAAAAGGAAGCAGAAATTTTGTACAATCTAGAGGTAAATATTGGTAGTTTTGAGTGGTGCCAATTTCCCAGACACTCTGAGATCATCTGTCAAGAACATGTTAATAGAATTGAGGGATAGTTAGTTAAATCATTTAAGGTTCTTCCAAATTCATAGAGCATGTAAGCTGCAAATTTCTTCATAAAAAAGCAAAAGCTTATTCTTATTATTTGCACAGAATTATCTGCCCTTATTCTTTAGGTTTTATACTTGCTATTTACATTATATCTAGTCTAGAAAAGCACTAAATAGGTTAGAATAATTTAAGTTGAATGCAAATCTGAATAGATTTTGATTTTTTTTTTAAATGTTATTTCTTAAGTTTTCAAAGTCTACATTTTTTGGAACAGTGAAGGTGAAAACAACTTAACGGGAGATGCAGGCTCTGAAGGAGAATGCAGGCTTAGGCAAAGTAGCACCACTATTTACTGTGTGCAGTTGAGCAGCCTAATATTGCAGCATCTATTGGTAAAGAACTTGGGTACTGAAGTCATACTGAGTGCACATTCTAGCCTTGCCTTTTTCAAGCTATGTGCTTGAGCAATTTGGCTCAATTCTTTTAGTTTCAGTTTTTTATCTGCAAAACTGAAATAGCACAATACATAATTATAGATCGTAAAAAGGAAAAAATGAAATAACTGTAAATGGTTTGGCCCCTTGAAATCATTGGTATTATTGAACATTTAGTACTGTTAGACTCTTCTTAGTGAATTTCTTTACACTAAGAAATTCTCAACTTCAATAGATACAAATATACTATTCACACTGAGAACAGAAGTGTATGAGTTTACCAGAAGAATAGTTATAAATTTTAGTTGATGTAGAAATTAGAATTCCATGTTTTTGTTGTTGTTTGCTGTTAATAACAGAATTTGGTCCTCTGCTAATCAATGAGGAATAATCAATTCTTTCTTACCTAAACAAGAAAAAGATATTTTTCACGTGTCCAAAATTTGTTGAGTAAGCATTTTATATCAAAGCAAATATTCAGATTAAAGAAATGCATTTAGATATTTGACTCATCTTTACTTACTAGAAAGAAATGCAGCTTAAAAGTAGACATAATTCCTTTCATTTAAGCTCCTTTTATTTAATCCACCCACCAGCTAGTGTTTCCTTTAGTTCTTCAATTGGTGGCAAATAATGCTCTTTCAACTAAAAAAGTACATTCTAAATTACAGTTACAGTAGCATCAGCTAAACTGACAATAAGAATTAAATGAATGTAAGAAAAGAATGTAAATAAATATAAAAGTGAATGAATGAGTGAATGTTTAAAAAAGTGTGAATTTTTAGTTGCTCCACTTTAAATAATCTTACAAGTTTTGTGAAGATAAAAGTTTACTGTGATATGTAAGCCTTATGAAGAATTATAATTTCCAATTTTTAATGTTTTCCTCCTTCTAAGTAAACAGAAGTATTTAATTCATTTTGAATAACCATATATAGGAGATTCTAAAATATGTAAGACATGACCTAAAGAAGCCAGTTTAATGGAAAGGGGAGATAAGTTTATCAGCTGTATATATCAAATATATACAGCTCAAGAAGAGATGTTTGAGGTATTATATTAGAGGGGGAAAAACTGAGCAGTTATACAGATTTAGAGAAAAGAGAGAATGTGCTTACTCTATGAATTCAATGAAAGATTTAATGAGGGAAGTGGTATATGATGGATACATCAAACTAGAATGTGACATTTAGACAGAGATGATGGAAGGCATTCACAAAAGGAAGGGTGAAAGAAACAGCAATATGGAAAATCATGCATGCTTAGGTTACATCAACCATTTTTCTATGACTGGAGTATAGAACTTGTAGAAGCCTAGAAAACTACAGTCTTGTACCAAACAACTTTCCTAATTTAAGGTGCATTCACTCTATCAACAGTACGAGTTTCCAGGTCCTCCTAGGTTTTATTTTAACTCACTACCCCAGGCTTTTCTTGTAGAGCTTCTTTGCCAACTTACACTACACGGAAATAATAAACATAACCAGTCTCTTTCCTTCTCTTTGTTTCTTTCTCTTTCTTTCTTTTCTTTTTCTTTCTTTCTTTCTCTTCCTTTCTTTCTCTCTTCCCTCTTTCCTCCTTCCTCTCCTCTCCTCTCCTTCCCTCTCCTCTCCTCTCTTCTCATCTCCTCTCCTCTCTCTTTCTCTCTTTTCTCTTTTTCTCTTATTTTCCCTCAGGATATATCATATTAATTTCACTTTCTCAACTCTGCTAAACTCTTTCTGATCCCTCTGACTGGAATGTTATTATTTTATTTTTTTATTTCTTTTAGAGACAGAGTCTCACTCTGAGGCCTAGGCTAGAGTGCAGTAATGTGATTATAGCTCATTGAAACTTTGAATTCCTGGGCTCAAGCGATTCTCCCACCTTAGCCTCTAACATAGTTATTACTGCAGGTGCTCACCAGTGTACTTGGCTAACTTTTTAAAAGTTTGTTGTATAAA